CTGTGAAACTCGTCACATATCTATCAAGCTTATGAGTTATGTAGTTATATCAGTATATTCCGGTGGCCAACGCATTAAGAAACACTTAGAGAACAGCCGATATATTTCGTTACCCCTGCCAAAAAATAGCCAAGTACTCATCTTTCAATGTAGCGGATCGACTGAACATTATAAAAGCTTGTCATGGAGAGAAGTGAATTTTCGGTTTATCCTTCGTCCCAGTGACCAGTGAGCATGGGCGTACCGGAAGGAAAAAATTAGGGGGGCGGGAAGAAAATTGCCCGACTTTTCGGGATTCTGCCCGACTAGTACCAAAAATTTTTTTCCGGAAAAATTATTTTGGCGACTTCGCCTCCCCCCCCCCAAAAAAAAAAATTCGGTCAGTGTACCATTTTAGGGGTCAAAAAAATTTTCCGGACAACCAATATTTTTCAGAACATAACACAAATTTTTCAAAAATCACAAAATTTGCCAAAAAATTGACTTAATTTTAGACAAAATTTACTGAATTTGTCCCATTTTTGACTCACGGATGTTGCGAAGCAACATCTGTGAGTCTTTGTGGTTTACTTGAGTGGGGCAGTTAAACAATGGGAAATGACCAGCCTGCTTTGCGCGCAGTGTTTGCCTGCGAACGGGTCTTTTGGAACCGGAAATTGGGCTGGAGCACGCTTCACGTTCTTTTCAACTTTTGACTTTTTGACAAGCGTGTGCTAATGCACTAGTCAATGTAAACCCCCGCACCCCCCGGCCGGGGCATAGCGGGGTATTTGACTTCCGCCTATGTCAAATGTCGTCAAATGCCCAGCAACACAGGGCAATATTTTTATTCTAATAGCATGAAATACCCCGGTCAAAAGCCCCGGCTGCTTTTCAAAAACTTTTGTTTGTACAAAACAAAACATCAAAAAGTACGGGGCACTCAAAGAAAGCATACCTCCGCCAGCGAATTAAGTTATATATCATATACTAGTAATAATCTTAGATTAGTGAAGTGCGTTCGGTCACAGGTAGAGTAGACGTTGTCCAAAATGTTATTATTGCATCATAGGGTAGTTATCAAAAGTGGGCCGGATGCCATCATTTGGAAACAACTGATTTTTTATTGCATCTACTTCTCTTTACTGTTTTTCACAGGCTGGCATAAGCTATTTATTTCTGTTGTCACATTGTACATTAACTTTGTCTTCAATGTTATCACTGGAAGGGCCTACTGTAAATCAGGCGATATTATTTCATGTGTCCAAATATCATTTTCATACTCAACAGTCATATCAGATGGAACACTACCAATAGGGAGTGATTCTAAGGCAATGTTGATTGATAGTCACATTACTATAATGTAGATTATTTCTCAAAAGCCATAGCATTATAGCATTAATGCAAGTTGCACTTTTTCTTACTTCTGACCTTAACATCCTTAAATGTGTTATCTTTACCCTTTATCTTAACTATAATAATAGACCCTGGGATGACTTAGCAAAACTGATGCAAGCTCTTCAACATGTTGCTCAAGGCAAATTAATGCAATGAACTGAATACCCCCATTTGCCTGCCTGGTTTATGATATAAACCCTAATTATAGGCGAGCTGGAGGTATGAGCATTTCTTCAGTTTGAGTTTATAGGCCTTGCAACTCAACTAAATAGAATTTTGTGCCCCTGGTGTAAAGGGTTTAAAATGGTTGCATTAGCATTTGGACTGGAATCAGTAATATGAATAGTGCAGCTTAAAGCATTTGCTCCTGCTTGATAATGATACCATGTTCCAGGTTGTGACATTTCTTCACCATAATTTTCCCATAAAATATTTTCAATTTATTATACAGTATAGTAGAGAGTAAGATACAAAAAAATACACAGTGAGATATTTCCCATATCTTCACTAGTGAAGATATCGATCATGTGACTTTTAGTATTTATACATTTTTTTGCTTGGGACTAGTATATAATAAACAGAACATTACACGGTGGCTTGAAGATACGACTTTTATCTTCTCGTGTTAAAAACAATATTTTACTCACTCGCTGCACTCGTTCGTAACTCGTTCATAAAATATTGTTTTCACCACTCAAAGATAAAAGTCATATCATCATGCCGCCGTGTAATATCGTCTATTTATAACTCAGGATTATGCATTAAATGTGTAATGCCTGCACTACAAATATCAAGATGGCAAATTAGGATTTTTATAAAGATCATGTCCTGAGGATGCAAAAAAGCAGTCACCAGGTGAACTTTCACAGTTATATGGCACTATATTCACTATAAGCGAACAAAACATTCCAAGGCAAGTTGCTGTTATTATTTGCTGAATACAAGCGGGATGGCCCGGTTGCCGATATTTCACTTGAAAGAGGTGAGATCTCGCATACCGGGATGGAAATTTCTCCATATAATACTCACAAGCAGGCTAGCCTGGTTCCAGGGATGAAAATTCAAAGATACCGCCACAAGCTATTTCTAACAACTGTCAAAACAATAAAATTGTTAACACAAGAGAAATAGAAATTCATCCCGCTTACCAGGCTGTCTCACTAAGCGGGCCAGCCCAGCTTCCATATAAACACAAAGGTTCCAACCGACTAATTTATAAAAGCATCAGAAATTTCATTGGTAGCACAGGTCAAACATGGCAAGAAATGTTCATGAAAAATACAGCTGAATTCGTCAGTAAAACTTCGCTCTGCTTGTCTATGAATATTATGATTACTGATTAGGTTCATTGTGTCAACAAAATTACTGGGATTTGTATATTTGTATGTCCACCTAGTATACTATAGCCAAACTGGGATTTGTGTATTTATTTGTCATGCTTAATTAAAACTCGTATTTTTCAACACAACTCTGCAAATTAAAATGCTTAACAACGTTTACTTCATCAACATTCAATGACCAAAGAGAATATACTGGACATGCATCCAAACCCGTTATTAATTAAGCAGAGCGAACTCAAGTTAAATCTGTGAACTCTAGCTGACAATTTAAAAAGATAGCAAATTGAAATGTCGGATTGCCAGTCGATAAAACACCACAAGACAAATTCTTGATGCTTTGGTAAGTACCTTTGATAAGTGTAATAAAAATAACACAACACCACCGATTACCTTACATTAAACCGCAGGAAAAACCCCAAA